TTCTGTGAAAATTTCCTATAATTTCTGGGTATGCAATGTGTTAAAGCATTCCTGGGTGCTATCAAATTTGTAAGAATATAAATAGAGTCATTGTTCTGTGGGCTTAGAAGAAAAGGAAAAAACTGGAATGCCAGAAACCTGAGCAAAAACGACTTGGCTTAGAAATTGAGGTTGTTTTGCACCGAATGGCACTGATTTCCATCAGAAAAACTCAGTCAGAGAGTGCAGCATTAAACTGTGAATATTAATAAACCTTGATATTTTGATATCACAGTTTATCAGAAGGTTTTGGAAGTGTTTCTATAAAACCTAAAACGTTTGACTTGATCTCATTGAGCCGCAGCAATCTCTGACACTCGTCTATTGTTGCTCTCTTTATAAAAGGTGTGGAACTGGAAAAAAGTGGAGAAGAAAAAACAAAAGTACTACAAAACAGACAAAGGAAAGAAAAGTTGAGTTTATAGGCATCTTTAAATATTATAAAGGCTTTGAGGAAAGAGCCTCACACCAAACGGACTGCAAAAAAAACACCATGCAACATTAAAACAGAAGAAAATGATACTAAAGATCAGGAGAGATGAAGTCAGTGCACACCTATTTATTTATTTACTTACTTATAATGTTTTATTTATTTTGCACATTTTCCTTAGCCTTTTAATCAGCTTATGATATGCAAATGAGCCTAGAATCTTAGATCAGAGACAAAAATGGCGGCCTGAATATTGCAGCTTAGAGATTATTATTTAAACCTGAAGAGACATGCATGATATCCTTTAATAAGAGATATAATTGCATAACTAAGTATTCTTAATAAATACAAATGCAGAGATATCAGCTAGTAATGTTAATAGAAGATGGTTCAGAGAACAGTCAAAAGTAACTTTCCCATAATGTTCATGCAAAATGATCAAATGGAAAGTTCCCTTAATGTTTTCTCTAATCTTTACATACCATTTTTAAGCATTTAAAAACTGTTTTGAATGTTCATAGAACACTCAGAAATAACATTATGATATCCTTTAATAAGAGATATAATTGCATAACTAAGTATTCTTAATAAATACAAATGCAGAGATATCAGCTAGTAATGTTAATAGAAGATGGTTCAGAGAACAGTCAAAAGTAACTTTCCCATAATGTTTGCAAAATGATCAAATGGAAAGTTCCCTTAATGTTTTCTCTAATCTTTACATACCGTTTTTAAGCATTTAAAAACTGTTTTGAATGTTCATAGAACACTCAGAAATAACAACCTGAAATGTTCTTATTTTGTTAGCTGGGATCACATCATCTGGAGAAAAACAAGCCGTTTCCTTAATTCAGGGGAGGATGTTCATGGTGAATGTGTTCATGGTGAGACAGCTGATATTTAATAACCTACACATGACCTTTTAATCAGCATCCGGTTCACTGCAGACAGACTCCCAGCTAACAAATAAGTTAGCCATTTTCCTAACAAACGTTATTTTTGGATGTTTTCTGAATGTCCAGTTTTTTGAATGTTTAAACAAAAATTCTTGGTTGTATGAACATTCCATTTGATCATTGTATGTTACATTTGAATGTTCCCTGAGCATTCTGAAACAAGTGGTGACATTTAAAAAACGTTAGAAGAACATCAAACGCGAAAAAATGTCCCATGAATGATGTACAAATACGGTTTTGTTTTGTTTTTGTGTTTTTAGAACATTATTAAAGACCAGATAACTTTAAATGAACATTCTATTATTACTGGAAGGACATTTGTTCATAACTTTGAGAGAACCTTTCCAGAACGTTCTGAGAACATTCCCTGTTAAGCCTGTGTTATACTTTCCGCGTGCGCGAGTCCGCTAGGGTCCGCTATGGTATGCGTGACGTAAAAATCGTCATCGGAGAGTGTGCGCGGAGGCTCTGCGCAGACATCCGCGTGCCTCCTATTTTTTGTGTCAGTAGGCTACAAAAGTACCAACTGCGCATGCGCAGGTTGTGTGAAGAAGCCCGTTGCTACTCGAACCTGTACAATCCCTCGATAAAACAATATAAAGACAGCCAGATGTGCAATAACAAGAAAACTCTGTCATCATTTACTCACCCTGAGGTTGTTCCAAACCTGTATTTTTTTCTTCTGCTGACCAAACAGTTGGCGGTAGCCATTGGCTTCCATAGTAAGGAACAAAATACTATGGAAGTCAATGGCTACCGTCAACTGTTTGATTACCAGCATTCTTGAAAGCATCTTCTTTTGTGTTGAACAGAAGAAAGAAACTCATGCAGGCTTAGAACAACTTCAGGGTGAGTAAATGACAGAATTTTAATTTTTTGGGTGAACTGTCCCTTTAAAGGAATTTCTCAGATGAAATCGGATGGGATTCAGGCATTGTCAAGCTCCAGAAATGGACCATTCAAGCATCCTTAAAGTAGTCCATATGTCTTGTGCGCTGTTTTAGAGTGAGTTAATGATGACAGAAATGCATGAACTCTATAAACTGAATATTTCAGCTAATAGCATCTGAGACTCGGGGAATGAAAGCGCGTGTTGCCCTCTCACCCTTTATTATTCCTCTGTAACTATCATCTAGCGCTGAGACTTCAACCCTGCCCACTCGATATCCTGCTGACAGTAAGCGTAGCTGACATATAGATGCCCACAGTTTTTAAAAAATTAATGCCGTGACAGAGACACAGTTAACCTGTCAGCGGCTGTATCTGTGTAACACTCTCACACTGTAACTCAGTGACAGGGTTACATAAGAGACGAGTGTTCACCCAAACACATGCTTCATAGACATATAGGTGCAAAACACCTGATCAGTGTGAGTTAAACAGGCCTTCATGATTTGTACAATACACATACCAAGGGCTGAAAGTAATATACAGATGCTACACGGATGTTACACGGCCCTCAGTGCAACCTAATCCATGCACAGAGCGCCCACTGCAAAAACACAACAGGAAGGTCTCCATCCACCCCCTCCTGAAACATTTCCAGGGGGTTTTAATGCACTGCAGGTGGGAGGCGTGGAAACATCACACCTTTGTGTATCTGCACATCTGCAAAGAAGCAGAATGAGGAAGATGGCATGTGTTCAAATGGCGACAGCCCTCTGAAGAAGAGCTAGAGTGTAAACAGGATTCCCCCGCCAGACTGGATGAATAAAAATAAAATACAAATACATATAAATATAATGAGCTTTCAAATGCTAAAATAAATTAAAGCAACAAATAAAATAAAATAGCAAAATACAGTAACAAATAAAAAATAAAAAATAAAACAACAAATAAATTAAAATATAAATGATGAGCATTCAAGCAAGTGACCTGAGAACACACATGGGAATTAGCTAGACCAAAATCAAATCAAATCAAATAATAAAATAAAATAAAATAACAAATGGCATTCAAGTGCTATAAAATAAATATAAATAATGAGCTTTCAAGTGGTAAAATAAATTAAAACAACAAATAAGATAAAAATAAAATATAATAAAAACATAGAGAATGAAATATTTCAGTATGTTGCTTGGAATAAAAATAGATTTTATTATACATTTTGCAGTCAGATGGTATAGCTATTACATTGGCTTTAGCAGGGGCTAATTGGTTCATGCTAACTAGCCAAACCTTCACTCCTCAGCTTTCTCAAGTGGATAGATGGACTTCAGTGTTTGCTAAACAGACTTTGGCCGATAGTTTTGGCTGCTGGAGTTCAGTGTGGGCTGGAGCAGCACAGAGGAGGGCTGGGGGTGGCTGTGGTTATTTCTGCTGGATCAGATGGTGTTTCCCCTGTAGATGCTGTGAGACGTCAAACCTCGGCTCACCGGCCAACACCTCATGACTTATTCATGCAGATTTGGTTTTTGTACTCTCACACGCTTCTCGCTCCGGCTGCTGACCTCCTATGCACACTTATTGACTTCCTTCCTCTATATAGGTCTTAAAATGCTCAACAAACACAGATCTGTTTGATGAAGCAGCTCAGCAGCCGTATGGAGTATTCTCTCATGAAGACTGGGCTCAAAATAGCTGTCGGCATCAGCATTCAAAGAGTCCTTCACACCGGAGTCTTTTCTGTTTGCCATGAATAATACATTTAGTCTGCAAAGTCCATATGCCACATGATGAATCAACCTATTTCTGAGGTGTTAATTATGGACTAATTAATGGGCAAATAGTTGTTTTCTGCACAGCATGTTAATGTCACAGTTAGACGTCAAGTGGCAACACAAACATATCAGATTCTTTTTCAAACAAGTAAACAAAAAACATCTTAAAACAAGCTATTTATTAATAAACGATGAAAATCTTATGAGCCGAATCTTTTCTACAAACCTGTCGGATCGGTTCACACGACACTGAGAGATTCATTCGTGAATTCGACTGATCCGATTGCAGCTGTTATCGAGCAAACAACTCACTGATTCAGTGATCCGTTCAGAAAAATAATGATGAATATGATAAACAAACATATTAAAACTGTTTGCCATGAATAATACATTTAGTCTGCAAAGTCCATATGCCACATGATGAATCAACCTATTTCTGAGGTGTTAATTATGGACTAATTAATGGGCAAATAGTTGTTTTCTGCACAGCATGTTAATGTCACAGTTAGACGTCAAGTGGCAACACAAACATATCAGATTCTTTTTCAAACAAGTAAACAAAAAACATCTTAAAACAAGCTATTTATTAATAAACTATGAAAATCTTATGAGCCGAATCTTTTCTACAAACCTGTCGGATCGGTTCACACGACACTGAGAGATTAATTCGTGAATTCGACTGATCCGATTGCAGCTGTTATCGAGCAAACAACTCACTGATTCAGTGATCCGTTCAGAAAAATAATGATGAATATGATAAACAAACATATTAAAAACTAGACGAACTATGCAACAGAACTCCCATTTTGATATCACGAGGTCTTCCAGAGATCTGCTCTTGTCTGAATCAACAGGCCGAAAGAGCTTGAACATGCAGAAGAATAGATGGATTGACATTCAGTTTCTTTTTTTGTTTTAGGTGGGCAGAATGTGCAATATTGTGCGTTTCATGATCCGAGCTGCCCGTGGAGATTCACTCTCTCTTGCCATCTTGTCTGTGCCAGCCAGTATCTGGCTCAGATTTCTCTTTATTTCTTTGTGTCTTTCTGGCTCACCCACTCTCTCTATTCCTAAGCAAAAGACGGGGGAGAGACAAATGTGAAGTGACACAGGAGAACGCTTTGCTCTCCTTCCACTGCCTGCGTGTCATTTGAAGAGCTGAAGGTACAGAGAGTCACTGTCCAGCAGAGAAATGAACAAACCACTCTAATTCACTCACAATGAAGCCCAGCGTGCAACTCGAAGAGAGAGAGAGATTAGCAACATGACTCCAACTGATTCACAAGACCAGGAAAGCATAATCATTTGTCTTTTTTGGATCCAAAAGATGACTTGAGTCATTTTTCGTCACGTTGAAATATAAATGTGAACACATGAGTGACGCTCGCCCATGTAAAATTTGCCGTCTTGAGGCAAATGAGGTTTTTAGAGCAATTCTAGGGTGGTTTAGATGATGTTCTGGGCTCAGATCTCCTTTAAGGCTAACAAAAATATGTTCTAGGAATGTTATGCGAATGTTCCAATTAAGTTATAAAAACATTATTTCTGAATGGTCGCTGAAAGTTCAAAATGTTTTTTCTTGGTTATGCGAACATTAAATGAGTATTCCATTTTTATTGTTTTGCAAACATTATGGGAATGTTATACTTTTGATTGTACTTAGAATGTTCTGAAACAAGTAGTAACATTTAAAAAGCATTAGATGAACGTCCAAGTGAAATGTTTCAGTTAAAAACGTCCCAAAAATGATGTGAGTGTTTTTGTGCTAATGTTTTGAGGATATTATTAAAAACCAGCCCATGCTAACAAGAAACATTCTCAGACCTTTGGCTAATATTCTGGCAATGTTCTCTCAAGCGTAAGAAGAGTAATGTTAACAGAATGTTTGTTCATAGTTATCTGGTCTTTAATAATGTTCTCAAAACGTTAGCAGAAAAACGTTTTTTATATATATATATATTTTGAACGTTTTAGTAGGACTAAACGTTTTTTAAAATGTTACTGCTTGTTTCAAAACGTTCTGAGAACATTCTAAAGTAACATTCACAGAACGTTTGCAAAATTATAAAATGAAATTTTCCCTTAAAGTTTGAATAACCAAGAAAAAACATGTTTTTAAAAGAACTGGTTGTGAACGTTAGCAAAATGTTCTTAGAACTTATTTTGTCAGCTGTGAGATAACTTTAAACGAACATTATATTAATGTTACTGTTCATACATTTTAGAGAACCATGACAGAACGTTAGCCAAAGTACTGAGGATGTTCTCCAAGCTGGGTTCTAAGAACATTTTGCTAACGTTCCTATTAAGTTATGAAAACGTTATTTCTGAACGTTCTCTGAAAGTTTAAAACTTCCAGTTTTTTCAATGTTTTAAAAACGTTTTTTTTTCTTGGTGAGACAAACGTGAAGGGAACATTCCATTTTATCCTTTTGCAAACATTATGGAACGTTACTTTCGAATGTTCTTTGAATGTTCTGAAACAAGTAGTAACATTTAAAAACTGTTAGCTGAACGTCCAACTAAAATGTTTCAGAAAAAAAGTAGAAATGTTTAAATAATGTTTTTGTGTAGACATTTTGAGAACATTATTAAAGACCGGATAACTTTGAATGAACGTTCTATTCACGTTACTGGAAGAATGTTTGTTCGTAACTTTGAGAGAACCTTGACAGAACGTTAGCCAAAGTTCTGAGAAGGTTCCCTGCTTGAATCACTAACTCTCAGTATGAGCAACAGTGTTGGGGAAAGCTACTTTTAAAAGTAATGCATTACAATATTGCATTACTCCATAAAAAAGTAACTAATTCCGTTACTTAGTTACTTTTATGGAAAGTAATGCGTTGCATTACTTTTTAAATCTGGACAGGGCTTGCTTGTTTGTTTTTAAAATAAAAAAGTTCTATTTTTGGCAAATATAAAAGCCTCCGTAAAAAAGTAACTAATTATGTTACTTAGTTACTTTTTATGGAAAGTAATGCGTTACGTTACTTTTGCGTTACTTTTTAAATCTGGACAGAGCTTGCTTGTTTGTTTTGAAAATAAAAACGTTATATTTTTGGCAAATATAAAAGCCTTTTCACACCAAAAGTGAAATGAATAAGCCTCGGGCTGAAGGGAAAGTAAATTTACGTCTGTACAGTAGAATGCAGAAGAAGAAATTTCAACACACTTCAGCAATAAAAAAAAACACACAAATGTTTTTCTAGAGTAATTTTTGCTTATTAGTATGGTTGAACTGGATCATCGAAGGTCAGAAGCAAAGACATTGGTTAATAGAATGGGATTAAATACATAAAGGATATTTGTGTTTTTTAACATTTAATTATTGCAGGTTTGCGTCATATTCTGAGTTGCATTATTTTTATTCATTTTGAGGAATACTGAATCTGTTTATTTTTTTGTGAGTGAGATGAATTAATGTATATTCATATTTATTTTAGAACTACAGTAATATCTTCTGATTTCTCTCAACATGGGGACAGGAGAGCTGTCAGTCAATAAATTGGGGGAAAAAAGTAACTTGCGTTACTTATTTGAAAAAGTAACTCAGATATTCTCTTGTAAATTAAAAAGTAATGCGTTACTTTACTAGTTACTTGAAAAAAGTAATCTGATTACGTAACTCGCGTTACTTGTAATGCGTCACCCCCAACACTGATGAGCAACAGTAAAAGTAATGCTAGAGCAATTTAGCAAAAAGCTGGAAATGACATGAGGCTGACAGGCATGATTCAGGATGACTGAATCAAAAGTGGTTTAGTCACCTACACACGTACTATTCAGTGGAGCAAATGGACGACGGAACCACAGCCTGCTCGTTTCAACGTGGACCGCAGAGAGTAGGAAAGCGCAGTCGGCAGCTAATAATGACCTCATTTAGCAACTCATCTGCTATTTATAACCATCACAAAAGCCCAGTGCTGTGAATCCACACAGTATGAGTGTGTTTGATAGTCAGAGGCTGAAGCGGTCAAACGTGTGCTATTGTATTGTGCTGTGCTATGTCTGCGCTAATGCTGTTTAAATCCCTGAGCTGAAAGAGAGCTCGGCCACAGCACTTCTTTTATCTGCTGCGAATCCAGCGAGGATAAAGCCTCTGCTGAAGCAGCGCTCTGACCGCCAGCACAAACGCTTATGACGGCTGGGGCCATTCCTGGTTTTTAAAGAGATGTGTGTGTGTTCAGGGAGGGAGAATCCACCTGGTAAAGTGCGTTCAGTGTCAGATAACAGAAGAAACAGAAGAGGTCAAACAGGATGACCTGAACCTCTAAGAGAATTGTCAGCAGGTCTGTTCTGATCACAAATAGCTAAAAGAAAAACAGTGATAATAGTACAATTAACCCTATAATGGCTGACATATGAAGTGATAGTCAGAAAAAAATAATTTTTTGAAATGGAACATCTTATTGAATATATAAATATATATATAATACAAATTTAAATATAAATAAAATATTAATCAAAAATAAAAAACATAAATAAAATAAAAAATATTGCATGTGTTTTTGTTGAGCACTTACAGGCTTTTATGGCTCATATAGTCTGAGAATATGGAGGAAAAAAACGGCTCAGTTTTATTCAGAGGCCCAAACTGAGCAAAAATATGTCATTTGGTGCAGATGCTGGAATTTATATGGCCAAAAAGTTATGAAATTCTGATGCGTGTAATGTAAATCAATGAGATCTTTATAACAGTATAGTAGATAATTACATAAAATGTAATAAATATCAGCCGTCACTCTATATCTCCAATGATCTGTCTCAGTAAGATGAGATTGAAATGATCCAAACATAAAATGCAATGCAATCCAATGCTGATTGAGAGCTGAAGAAATAAAGGCTCCTCAGAAGATGTGAGATGTTCTGGAGGCTTGTGAAGATCATTCCTCCGCTGAGGAACAGTGAAAGTAAAGCTTCTGGAAACAAACGCTCCTCAAAAGATCCTGAGGATCAGATTTGAGACTCTAAACCATGATTGATGGAGAATCAAGTAAAGCTGAGCTGCTTCAGTCCAGTAAGTGTTCATCTGGAAATACTGATAACAATATCAAAGTTATTCTTATGATCTCTTTATAAAAATAAGATTTGACAGCAAAAAGTTTGTACAATTACACTAAAAGAGCTTTTACTTGCTAAACAAGTCTAAACTATCAATCAGACGACAGAATGCATGTAACAGATTGTGTACAACAGGTTGTTGTTGTTTTGTTTAGCAAAATTTTGATCAGAAATATGTGTATCAAATGTTATAAAGTAGGCTTTATAGGGTTAATAACATGCATCATGCATCAAAAGGAGAGGAAATATCTTTAAAAACACTTAAGCATAAACATGTTTTTTGTGAACCAAAGTGTGTTTTGTGCATGTGAGAGGATGTGGTTTGTGTGTATGGTTATGGTTAGTGATTATATAACAACTTTAAAAGGTGTTGGAGAATCCCTCCCTATCGGGTGCATTTGATCAGATCTAAAAGAGCAACGAGATGCTTATGCATAAAATGTCTGTTTTTATTTGAAACCCAAATGAGATTATCAGACGAAGCCTTTTTGTATTCCGAATAAATATAACTCAAATTGCTCATGGCGTGTTTCTCCGTGCGTCCCGCAGCATCAGACAAAAGCCTCGGCGTCTCGGGATGCTGGAGGAGACGGTATCTTAGCAACGCTGGCACCAGAGACAATGAGACGAACGTTCCGAATACGGACCTGAAGGAAACCCACTTATTCGACTAAAGCAAAAGATCCAGAGATGGGAGATGCGATCATCCGAGAACCGCACTGTCTCTCGCCTCGCTATTAATAATTGAGTTAAGATCAACTTTCAGCTCTGAGGAATCTGCATTCAGCATCTGCATTCCTATTGCACATATTTCTGTCAGCCTGATAAAGCAAACATACTGCTTTTGCACCAAGTCACAATCAGAGCCTGTTCTGACTAACTACTGTATCCACCTAACAACACCCTAGCAACCACTCAGATCACCATAGCAACCACCTAGCAAGGCTTTAATACCCTTCAACACTTCAAATCGCACTCCAGAAGTGACCAAATTCAGCCTAACTTTGTAGATCACTTGTCTGATTTTCTCGTTCAGCATTCAGTTCTAAAGCACTAAACACTGCGATTCACTCTCTCTGCTCATTTATAAAAGGCCACTAGATGAGCAACACGTACAGCTCAGAACATTTATAACCCACTAATCGCCCTTCAACACTTCAAATCGCACTCCAGAAGTGACCAAATTCAGCCTAACTTTGTAGATCACTTGTCTGATTTTCTCGTTCAGCATTCAGTTCTAAAGCACTAAACACTGCGATTCACTCTCTCTGCTCATTTATAAAAGGCCACTAGATGAGCAACACGTACAGCTCAGAACATTTATAACCCACTAATCGTTCTTTTGATTATTCATGAGTCAAATTACAAAAATTGGCCATGTTAACTACAGTTTCCCTCAAAAACTGTAAATAGGCCAATACATAGAGGTGTTTGCCGAGTCAAGCAGACTATTGCTCAATTTTATGATTCATTAATGATTCAAACAAACCTCTTCATTAAAACTAAACACATAATTGCATACATTTTAATATATTTAATAAAGAAAAACAATATATCTAGAGACCTTTTTATTTACTTGGGACTTGTAAGAAACATATAACCCTGTATATATATATATATATATATATAGGCCTATATATTAATGCTGTCAAATCGATTAATCACATCCAAAATAAATGTTTGTGTTTACATAATATATATGTGTGTAGGCCTTAAGAAACATGATGTATTTATATATGCATATAAATATATACGGTACACACATATATTATGTAAACAAACTTTTATTTTGGATGCGATTAATCTATTTAATATATATATATCCTATACATTTCACAAATTCTGTTTTTTTCTCCGCAGTTTTGAGTTTATATTTCATTATCTGGACTTTTCTTCTCAGAATTGCTAGTTTTTATCTCTTTTATCTCTATTTTTTTTATCACGGCGGAAATAAGTCATAAAACGGCTAAAACTAAAACTAATAAAGACAAATTTCTAAAAAACTACAGACTAATTTTTTTTTAAATTGACAAACACACACAACACGGTTACTAAAACTTTAACCAAAATTAAAGTGAAAACACAAAATCTAAAAGTAAAATTGAATTCAAAATATCTCCCGAAACTATAATAGTATATCAATAATGCTAAAATTACACTGCAACTGCAGCATCAGAAGCACCATAGCGTCAGTGTATAAGCTGGTGTTTACCATGGTTATTTATTGATTGATTGTAAAGGACTTTAAAATGTCAATGTATACTTAAAGTCAAATTATGATGATCTTGTAATGCATACTACAAAACAACAGTACTACGGTCTTCTTTAATCATGATGTCTTGATGCTCTGGGTATTTCGTGTAGATGCAGATGATGAGACACTCTCGTGCACTAGTGATCCAGAGGACACAACAGATGCGCGAGCGGTGAACTCACCAGGTTTGTGACGTCATCCCGACGACAGGCCCCTGCGGCTCCGGAAGCTGCTGTCCCAGCATGCATCTGCTGCACACATGCTCCAGCTGTTCGGCTTCAACCGAGGCTCCACCAACAACCAGTGCAAATACAACCAGACTAGTGCTGTTTAACCACAGCAGGCTGCATGCAATCAGGTCAACCTACTACTAACATGCCAAAAACAACTAAATCTGACTTTACCGTCAACCAAAATGCCTATTTTGCATAATAGGATTTTATTAGTTTAATAGGGATATATATATATTATTGCACTATTGTTCTATTTGATTTGTTAATACTACTTATTTACTCCACTATTGTTATTTGATGTAAGCAATTTAAATGTTTTCGTAATGCTAAAGGAGTTGAATTAAAGTCTATGAGCGCCCTCTGCTGGTTAGACTAAATGCATCTAAAATGACACAAATTAATTTTAGTTTTTGATATTGTTATAAAACTCAAAACTTTACAACCAAACACGATTATTAGACTGTGCTAAAATATTTAACACAATTTTAATATTTATAAATGTTTAAATAATACTAGTTAGCACATCAACTATGAAATAAATATTAATAAAATAAAATAATAATAATGAAGTAAAATAAAAAACAAACTAAATAAAATAATACTCTGAAAAATAAACTGAGAAAAAAACAATGATAGTGTAAAAATTAGAGAAATGAACTGAAATATTAAAATAAATGAAATAAAAATTAATAAGCCTTATAATAATGAAGTAAATGAAAAATAACAATAAAATAAAATATAAATACAATAAAAAGTAAACTAAAATAAAAAAGGAATACACTGAAACTGAAATAAACAGAAAAAAATAGTGTGAAAATTAAAAAATAAAATGAAAAAGATAAAGATAAAAATAAACTAAATTAAAACATCACTGCTTTAATAACCTTGACACAATAACATAAATCAATACTGGCGTGTGCAAAGGAAGGAGAAGCAGGAGTTCAGTCTTTTTCATTTATTTGGTGATATGTCACAGGTGACAATAAACTTACAGGAAGTTATTTCTGTATTACAAATAAAGTATCATCTGTACATAGAGACAGCTGCAGGAAATAATCCAGAACAAAAACAAAACCAACATGGATCAGCTGGAGTAAAAACGAGACTAAATGCATCTAAAATGACACAAATTAATTTTAGTTTTTGATATTGTTATAAAACTCAAAACTTTACAACCAAACACGATTATTAGACTGTGCTAAAATATTTAACACAATTTTAATATTTATAAATGTTTAAATAATACTAGTTAGCACATCAACTATGAAATAAATATTAATAAAATAAAATAATAATAATGAAGTAAAATAAAAAACAAACTAAATAAAATAATACTCTGAAAAATAAACTGAGAAAAAAACAATGATAGTGTAAAAATTAGAGAAATGAACTGAAATATTAAAATAAATGAAATAAAAATTAATAAGCCTTATAATAATGAAGTAAATGAAAAATAACAATAAAATAAAATATAAATACAATAAAAAGTAAACTAAAATAAAAAAGGAATACACTGAAACTGAAATAAACAGAAAAAAATAGTGTGAAAATAAAAAAATAAAATGAAAAAGATAAAAATAAAAATAAACTAAATTAAAACATCACTGCTTTAATAACCTTGACACAATAACATAAATCAATACTGGCGTGTGCAAAGAAAGGAGAAGCAGGAGTTCAGTCTTTTTCATTTATTTGGTGATATGTCACAGGTGACAAACTTACAGGAAGTTATTTCTGTATTACAAATAAAGTATCATCTGTACATAGAGACAGCTGCAGGAAATAATCCAGAACAAAAACAAAACCAACATGGATCAGCTGGAGTAAAAACGCTTTAAAAAGAGACTGGGGCAAAAAAAAAGAAAGAAAACGTGCTAGAAGCATGAAGACGAACACCGAATGCGATGCATGTGGAGTTTGATCCCTGGTTCAGTGGCAGACGCACGGCTAAAGACACGCAGATCTATGGCAGCGTTGAGCTCTGGGACGAATCTAAAACACCGAGCCACAAATGTCCGAATATGGCACAGTCACTCGAAGTGAGAAAGAAAGACAAACCATGGTACGAATTCAACAGTCGGACTCAAAATCACTCAAACTCCGGCTGCAAGACCCGCTTGTAAAGGCACGTAGTTTTTAAAGTAGTTATTGTCGACGTGAGCACATTCAAACATCTGATTGGACGCTGTGCGAGCGAACGAACGCTCACAGAACAAAGACACGTGGGCTATGGGTCACGGCGCTTCTCTAGAAGTACAAAAGGAAATCAGTTCTATACTATATACAGATGTGACGTTTACACTCTAATCTACTCTCAGACTATTTGGCTTGTTAATCGTAAATCTAGTCTGACGTAACAGTGGCAGACGAGAGTCAAGCAACTACAAAAGTACGCAACAGTATTTCCTGCTACAGGTTTACTACGCCTAGATCTACGGTTTCCTCAGAGTAATATTAAATGTGACGCTCGCTATACTGTACACGCTTCGCTATCGTTCAAATAAATTAAACATTATTACCGTCAAACACGATTTAGGAACGTATGAAATGCAGGATCCAGATACTGTGTTGTTAAAATTAAGATTTATAGTGAAATTGTTCCTGGAACGGTTTTAAATAATACAAAATGTGACCTCAACTCGCAACATCCTTCATTCGTTTAATAAAATTGTCTTAAAATACCAGTAACATCAGCAATATTGCACCCTTTTAAGTTTTATATGTGAGTGAAAAAAAAAAGTCCAGGTTGTATTTCAGTCCCCGAGAAATTAAAAGAAATCAAAATTTTTTGTTTTAGGACAATTTCAAAAATTCTCATTACTATAACGTGTTGGTGAAACTGTATTTAAATCAGGCAGTACAACGAATACTATTACATACAAAAAATAATAAATTTAAACGAATAGAAACCGAATGTGTAGAATACGACTTTTGTTATTTAGGGGAAAAAAATATAAAAATGACCTAGATTTTATAATATTTAGCTTGTAAATCAACTGACGTCCTCCGCTACAGCAGGGGGCGCTGATGGAGGGTAAAAATATTATTACAATAAATTAAAACAATGGTTCAAATGGTTAAGAGGCTGATGAGATTTCCTCGTTTTGAAGAATAAAGTAAACAGTCATTTCTAAAACATCCCACAATGCACTTCAGCCCAATATGGTCCGTCCTATCGCAGCAATCGCGACACAAATTCATAAAAAACTAAACGAATAGAAACCGAATGTGTAGAATACGACTTTTGTTAAACAAAATATATATATATAAAAATGACCTAGATTTTATAATATTTAGCTTGTAAATCAACTGACGTCCTCCGCTACAGCAGGAGTTGAGAAGGACCTGGAGGAAGATGAGGAAGAGGATGATGGCCACATCTCTATGCGTGAGGAACGAACTTTCTGTTGCCGACTGACTCGCCACTCGACTCCTCAAAGCGTTGACGCTCCTAGACGCCCGTGATGAGACAAACCAAAGTTAATATTCTCGTTTTTCAAGTATTTCTTAATAAAGTACGAGGTGAGAAAAGCCGTTTCACCTGTTAATGTCTTCCTGGGTTTTTCTGATCGACTCAATGGCACTTTGGATTTCACTCAGATCTGTTCCTTTCTTCCTGAGGCGGCTGTTGTGTTTGCTCTTGTGCCCTGAATGAAAGATCATGATGAGTTTGTGGAGTGTTATTAGCATGTTTGTGTGTGTTTCTGTGTGTTTGACGTACTCTCGCTGCCTGAAGAGTCCTGGTGGTCCGGCTCCGGAGACGAGCAGCCACTTTCTGGACTTTTAGGTTTGTCACTCTTATGTTTCCGCTTTGGTCCCGTCACCTGAACAAACACACACACGCCGACGAGAGCAGGACATTCACACGTTTCAGTCTTTATATTATGGTTAAGACAGTCTTGAATTGTGTATGTGATTCTCAGATATTTTTGAAAGGCTTCAAACAGGGTCCAAAATTAACTTTTTTCCACATCTGCCAATGGCAAGTGAGGTAGGAAAAAGTTTTACCAGCCATAAATATTAAATACTGGCCATGAAGCTGTATTTTTAGATTAAAAAGATGCTATTATCCATACAACAATTTAATTATTAAGCAGTTTTTCCTCTTGTCTATTTGTGTCATTAGCTATGTTTTCATCTAAGTTGCAAATTTAATTTCTAATTCTTTTTTATTATTATATTTATTATTTATTTAAATGCAAATTAAATTTCTAATCATTTTAAAATGCATATTTAAATATTCAAATTATTTTTTATTTATTTGTTTAAATGGAAATGTAATTTATAATATTTTTATTTATTTATTGTTACATTTATTGTTTATTTAAATCTTTTGTAATTCACAAAAAATATTGTAAAGCAGCATTTCTATCAAATGTGCTAATGTGCACATACATTCACATCTTTATATGCTTTTTTATGATATCCAAAGATAGAACAATTTATAATAATTTTTTATTTATTACAACATTTATTTTTTGTTTAAATGAAAATGTAATGTTTTATTATTTACTACATTTATTATTTATGTAAATGCAAATTTAATTTCTAATATTTTTTATTTATTATATTTATTATTTATATAAATGCAAATTTATTATATGCTTTTTTATGATATCCAAAGATAGAACAATTTATAATAATTTTTTATTTATTACAACATTTATTTTTTGTTTAAATGAAAATGTAATGTTTTATTATTTACTACATTTATTATTTATGTAAATGCAAATTTAATTTCTAATATTTTTTATTTATTATATTTATTATTTATATAAATGCAAATTTAATTTCGAATACATTTTTATTTATTGTTACATTAATTATTTATTTATATCTTTTGGAATATCACAAAAAAATGTTGTAAATAAAGCAACGTTTCCATCCAATGTGTTCAAGATTTAATGTGCATTTTTTTTATAAGCTTTTTAAATACAATATCCCAAGATTCACAAACCAATGTTAATTTTGGACCCTTGCTGCAAAGACGCATCCCTGATGCAACCAAAAAAACAAACAAAAATCACACAGGCATGCATGTGTCACTTGCAAATGCCAAAGAGCACAAAGAAAAAAAACAAAAGCTGAAAATGAGGCAGAACTTACATTAATTATTTATTTATATCTTTTGGAATATCACAAAAAAATGTTGTAAATAAAGCAACGTTTCCATCCAATGTGTTCAAGATTTAATGTGCATTTTTTTTTATAAGCTTTTTAAATACAATATCCCAAGATTCACAAACCAATGTTAATTTTGGACCCTTGCTGCAAAGACGCATCCCTGATGCAACCAAAAAAACAAACAAAAATCACACAGGCATGCATGTGAGTCACTTGCAAATGCCAAAGAGCACAAAGAAAAAAATAAAAGCTGAAAATGAGGCAGAATGGTCATGTGACCAGGTCAGGCAACAGATGATTGGTTGCTTTGCAGAATGGTGATTGGTTGTTTGAAGAATGGACAGAGAGCGCAGGCGGCGGCAGGCATGACGAGATGGAAGCAGACAGGGGGATTGTGGGTAAAACGAGGGAGGGGTGGGGACAGAAGGACGTACCTGGCTCAGGTAATTGTCCCTCCGGGAGCCCTGCTGGGTACTGAGACTAACTACACTGGCTGAACGTACCATAGGCGTCCTGTGGCGCACTTTGGTCTGAATAAAGCCGTCTTTCTCGAACTGAATCAGATCGTTGAGCGGATCCCACGGACGAGTGCTAGGACACAGAGAAACACACCGTCCTCACAGTAAACGGGACATGCTACAGTGCACTTCCTGTCCAGCAGGGGGCAGCAGCTGTTATGAAAGGAACAGGCAGGTGTGACTTACTCTGCGTAGCGGTAATGCCACTCTCCGGTGGCCGGGTCCTGCTCGAACAGAGCGGGCGTCCACTCCTCACATTTGGCCTTGCGCTCGCGTGCCGCTTTCCTCTGAACCTCCTCCAGGATGAACTTCTCATTGGTCGCCTCCGTCTGGTCTTTGTTATTGATGGCCCGTGTCACATGTTGCCACAGCCTGAAGATGACAGAGAAAGACGTTCGTTTTCCTAATTAGGGACGCAGAGCCCTATTAAATGCATTTTGTTTGTTTTTTTCAAATTCTGTTTAAATTTTTCTAGATTGTTTTTTTTTTCTGTATTAGTTTTTCTGTATTTGATTTAAAATTTAATTTTTCTTAAACATAAAATAATTTTTTTCTGGATTCCATTTTTAATTTAATAATATAATAATACATTTATTAATTTAAAACAATAATTAGAGCATTAATAATTTAAAAATATTAAAATCATTTAATCATTTAGTTTAAAGTTTCTGGATTCCATTTTAAATATATATTTTTTTATATAATTTCTTTTATTCAATTGTTTTTGTTTTAATTCCATTTTAAATATAATTGGTAAAAAATATAAAATAATATTTCTAAATTCCTTTTTAATGGTTAAATGAACCTTTAGTATTTAAAAAGCATGTCTAATTAATTTAATTGTTTCGCAAAATCTGTGTTTTCCTTTATATTTTTCTGGATTGAAATGGTTTAATAAAATGTTAATAATCAAAATAATGTCTAATCAAGTGAATTCATAAAGCTGCAACAATTTAATAATTTATTAAAACTTTACAATAACAGGGCCCTATGAAATGTTTTCAGAAATTCTGTGTTGTCTGTTTGATTTTTTTTTCTGGATTTATGATTTAATACAAATGTAATAAAAACTGTAGTAAACAAATGAATGCATAAAACCATGAACAATTGAATTAATCAAAAGAAAAAATTTACAATTCTTTGAATTTCCTTTAATTTTTAGAATTAAAACATGGATGAATAATTGTGTTATATTATTTAAAATTTAAGTTTGAATAATTGTATTATTATTTTTAATAGTAGTAATAGTATTTTTGCAGTTTAATAGTCTTTTTGTGGATTAAAATTTACAGACACTAGTCCATCTTACAGTTTGGTTAATTATACAGCCCTACTTTTGATTTATTCATCAAAAGTGGTCAAATTCCCATGACATTTAGCATTTTCTGCACTGTGTAAATCACAGGGTCGTAATAAGGCGATGAGCACCGTTACCTCTCGGACTCAAACTCGCTCTGTTCTTCAGGAGGGACGGTGCAGCGGATCAGACGGCTCTGCCTCAGCTCCGGCGTCGGGTTCCAGAACGTCTCCATCTCACCCGTCTTCTTATCATTGATGAAGACTTCACTGTCCTGTAAAAAACACACACACACGATGACATATGACCTATAAAAGACATCTAAGAAGCCTTAGTTTCAGGTCCAAACACATTTAGACATGCTAAAATCATTAGCCAGAATTGTCACTATTCCAGCTAAGAACCGCCCACTTAGTTTGATTGACATGCAAAGTGACCAAACACATTTTCGGATTTCTATTAGAGCTGCTCGATAAATTGCATGCGATATATAATGAGCATCTTGTCAGTAATGCCGGTTCTGTAATCAGCGGTAAATCTCCATCACGTGCGTGCTTTCACATGGAGCAGCATTTACTACACAGAGCCGTTGTTCACTGACAAGCTGCGCAAAACCACAATCATATTTTGTGCATGTTTTGCGCAGCTTGTCCAGAACCGGATATACTGACAAGATGTGCATTAAATATCGCATGTGATTTATCGTGCAGCCCTAATTTCTATGTAACCTTTACAGCTGATTTCTTGTGATTTTTATGTGCAGACGGTCTGTTTTTTGACTGTTATACTCACCCAATGCCCCTCAAGTGTCGCCAGCACCTCCTTCCCAAGCTTGATCTTCCCGCTGATCTGATTCACGCTATCACTGCTGCCGAGGAACGGCTGATGGACAGGGAAATATCAGTCATGCCATTGAAAAGAGTCACATGAAGCATCGTTCATTTGTGGATGTTGTGCCGTTATCGGTGTGGCATTTGGTTTGATACGGATGTGATGTGTGTGGCCTTTCTCTCTGCACCCCACTGTTCTTCTGAATGTCACAAAAGCTCCCTGGCATGAGCGTATAAACACACACACACCTTGAGTCTGAACTCCAGTTGAGCGCTGTAGCCCGTCTTCTCACAGGCGATGGACACTTGACCGCCCAACTCCAGAGTCATAGTCCCGTAGAGGATCCCTGAGAGAAACACAAACACAGAATGAGTGCTAATCTGCGTGAGTCAGTGGTGTTTATGAGTGTCAGTGAATACACCTGTGTGTGTGTGCAAGAGTTATTTTATATGCACATGCTATTTTATAAAACTGTCTTACAACAACGCACAAATCACGTTACTGGACAGACAGACGGAAATACACGACGCTTGCTAAGCTAGACCTTAGTCTCCAAGAGATGGTCTTTGGTAACACTTTATATTAAAAATTAAACATTAGCAAGCTTAACAGATAATAAATAAATATTTATAACAATAATATATATATATATATATACACACACACAAAATATATTTACAATTGTAGTATATACGACAATTAAATATGAATAAATATATAATATATAACAATTATACATTAATATAAAACATTAATTTTATATATACATTTACAACTGTAATATATACAGTATATATACACATTACAATTATTTAACATATACAACAATTAAATAAATATTTATATTACAAATATTATTTAATTATTAAATTATAAATATATAGTAATATAATTAAACATTCATTAATTTAATAATAAATGTATCATATAAAATAATTAATAATTATTAATCATTTATATATGTTTATAAATATACATGATATATATATATTAGGGATGTGCATCTCATGACTGAGGCCGATACGATATGCATCTCGATGCATAGCTAACGATACGATACATTAAATATACATATGAAGCAGCTACCGATGCGATGCGATACGATTCAGCCCTGTTACGATGCAGTGCGATCCGATTTTGATTCAATTCGATTCAACACAATGCGATTGGATGCAATGGAGAAAATATGATCACTTTTAATGCCTCGAGGCCTGTTTCATAAAACAAGTTAACCAAATAAGCCAGGCTTATTTCAGTTATCTGACTCATTGTCAAAATGATTTGGTTCCATGAAACAAATGTAACATAGGCCTAGATCAAGCTTAGTCACTGTGGCAACTTATGC